AATTACCACTGCTGGTTTGTGCCATAGTCGTTGAATTTCGATTTTTAAGTCCTGGTATTTTGAGATTTTTTCATGTTCCTTCTCAGCGACCCTGCTATCACCTGCGATGTCTATGATTGTGACCTTATTTTTCTCAACCAGTGTGATGTCTGGTGTATTATGCGCCAGTATTTTGTCCGTTTGTATGCGGAAATCCCACAAGATCCTGACCATCTGATTTTCTAATTATTATTATTATTATATAATTATTATATGTTTATACAACCAAACGATCCTTGGCTCCATTTGTTGAAAAAGATATAATTTATTAGAGATCTAGTGTACTGAAATATTGCAAAGCCAGAACTGAGAATCGCACGCCCAAATCCCCAACTTCTATATTTCCCTTTCTTAACTTTCTCTCGTTGTCCACTCTGGTGTAACTAATCACGTTCGGGCAAGGTCTTTCCATAACGGTCAGTCCAAGCTTATAGTTTGGTCTGTGTCCCCCTTCTTCTCCCAGCTAGGTGGCCTTGAGGTAGCATCTCGAGGAGATCACAGCACTTACTTTCAATTTCCCAATCCTTTCCTTCTTCCTTCCCCCTCCCAGAGTGTGTCACCGCATAGCAGGGAAGCCCAGGGACGCCTAAGGGAGCAGCTGACAGGGAGACCATGTGGGGAAGCCCCCCAGTCCTTGTCCTTAAGGTTTGGGGGGGACCCCTTGGCTCAAAAGACAACAGGGTACCTGCAACCCTTACAACAATTTTACCCTTTGTAACCCTCTGCTTTTAACCTCCAGAGAGCTTTGCTGGAGAAGAGCCCGCGGGCTGTGAAGAAGAGGAAGAGGTGAGAGCTTAGGGTCTTCCTAGCCTTCTTGGGTGCAGATCTATGGGGAGGGGGTTTGCCCTCCTGTAGAAAATAGCGCAAGTATGGAGACTGGCGGGTGGGACCGTCTGTGCTGGGCTGATTTCACGAGAGGCCAGAATCTGCCACTTCTGCCTCTCGATTCGGCTATATTTGGCACTCAGAAAAACCACAGAATTCGGTCCTCTGCACAGCTGCAGCTGAAACCACCTTCAAGCCAGCATGCTTCCAGTCCCACCTCTGTTGCTGGGGTTGAATTCCACGTGACGCGACCCTGGTTTAGCTCTTTCGTTTAGCATTATATTTTTACAGAAACCTCCCCCCCCCCCCGAGAGTCTCTCTGTGGGGGAGACAAGCGGTTCCAAAATGAGAGAGAGAGATTTTAGATAGTTTAGAGACCCAGACACACAGAGAGATGATAAATAGATAACCTGGATAAATAGAATAAATATGATGATGATGATGATGATGATNGATATGCTGACTCTGTAAACCGCTTAGAGAGGGCTGAAAGCCCTATGAAGCGGTATATAAGTCTAACTGCTATTGCTAAACGAACGGTTGTAAGTTGTACTCGTTTTATTGTAAGCTGAGAACTCCCTAATTCAAAAGAGAAACAGAATCAACAGAAACAGAGGGGGGAAAAAGCAGTGGGAACCAGAGAGAGTTCGACCTCCTGCTGGCTTCCCCAGTGGCTTTGCGTTGGGGAAGCCGGCGGGAAGCATCAGAAATCTCACCCTCTTTCCTTTCTTGCACGGACAGGCCTGGGCCAAAGAAACGGGGAAATACAACGAGGGCGTGGATGAGCCGGATCCGGCCAAATGGAAGGCCAACCTGCGTTGCGCCCTCAACAAAAGCCGGGAGTTCAGTCTCATCTACGACGGGACCAAAGACACGCCGATGCAGCCCTACAAGATTTACGAGGTCTGCGACGCCCCCCTGCCCAACGGAGGTACCGGATGCTTTTGCAACGCCACTGCTTTGTCCCCTAACCGGTGAAGCCGCATGGGGCCCCATGGATTCTACGTTGCCCCACCACAAGGGGTCCCCTCCTCCCACATACCCAAGAAACGGCAGATACCTGCATGGAAGTTATGCTCATATACCCTCCCTCTCTTTTCCTTTCCTTTCCTGTCCTTTCCTTTCTTTCTCCTTCTCTTCCTCTCCTCCTCTTCCTCCTTTCTCTCTTCCTTCCAACTTTACAGACTTTTTTCTTGCCTTCCTTCCGTCCTCTCTCCCTTCTCTTCTCCTTCCTTTTGTTCTCCTCCCTCCCTCCCCTCCCCCTTTCCTTTCTGTCCCCCCTCACTCCCTTCTCTCTTCCATACCTCCTCCTTTTCCCTCCCTCTTTTCCTTCTCTCGTACCTCCCTTCCTATTTTCTCCTCTCTTCCTTCCTTCCTTCCTTCCCTCTCCTCCACCTCTGTTCTCTGTCTTCCTCCTTCCCAGCCCTTTTTATTCCTTCCTTCCACCCTCCCTCCCTCTTTTCTTTCTCACCTTCCTATTTTATCCTTCCTTCTCCTATTTCTTTTCCTTTTTCTGTCTTCCTTCCTCATTCCCAGGCCTTCCTTCCCTTCCTTCCTTCTCTTCCTTCCTTTCCTTCCTTCCTTTGCTTCCTTTCTTCCCTTCCTTCCTTCGCTTCCTACCCTACCTTCCTTCTCTTCCTTCCTTCCTTCTCTTCCTTCCACTTTCTTTCCTTCCTTCCTTCCTTTCCTTCCTTCTCTTCCTTCCTTCCTTCTCTTCCTTTCTTCCCTTCCTTCCTTTGCTTCCTTTCTTCCCTTCCTTCCTTCCCTTCCTTCCTTCCTTCTCTTCCTTCCACTTTCTTTCCTTCCTTCCTTCCTTTCCTTCCTTCTCTTCCTTCCTTCCTTCTCTTCCTTTCTTCCCTTCCTTCCTTTGCTTCCTTTCTTCCCTTCCTTCCTTCCCTTCCTTCCTTCCTTCTCTTCCTTCCACTTTCTTTCCTTCTTTCCTTCGCTTCCTTTCTTCCCTTCCTTCCTTCGCTTCCTTCCTTTCCTTCCTTCCCTTCCTTCCTTCGCTTCCTTCCTTCGCTTCCTTCCTTTCCTTCCTTTCTTCGCTTCCTTCCTTTCCTTCCTTTCTTCCCTTCCTTCCTTCGCTTCCTTCCTTTCCTTCCTTTCTTCGCTTCCTTCCTTTCCTTCCTTTCTTCCCTTCCTTCCTTCGCTTCCTTCCTTTCCTTCCTTTCTTCGCTTCCTTC